ACTTGGCTGAACACGTTATCAGGCTGGAGGTTGGACTATAGGGTGGAACATGTCAAATTCCAGAAAATGGGTCAAAACCTGGTTAAATCTAAGTTTTACCAGGAATGAACATCTTGTAACAAGATGGCTTTTAATCTTAAAATGGAGTCAGGCTGGCCCATCAGAGTGTCTTAATCAAGCATTCAGAAACCTACAGAGAATCTGCACCTTACACACACATGCCCCAGCTTAGTCAAACCCTGTATTTGAAAATGGAGAACGCGAAGGAGAGGAGACATGGCTCAGATCCTGGAAACGAAAAACCCGTGTTCTCTCTGACATTGTGTAAGGTCGAATTTACACGACCTTTCTTCCCGCTGAAGTTCATATGTGACGCTACGTTTGAGCTGTTTGATTTTTTTATCCCACGTCCATAGTTAAATGTTGTTTTCTCTGTTGAATAAATATTGGTGTTCTAGAAACCTGATATCCATACAGACTCAAAGTGATTTTACAGGAAAAAGGACCATTTGGGCCTCCACATTTGGGGAAACTATGTATTTTCCAATAGTGATTATTAGGACCCTTCAGAATTCACAAATGTTAAGTCAGAGTTTGGGATATAGCTTAGTGATTGAGCTCCTGACTAACGTGTGTGAGGCCTTGGGTTGGACCCCCAGAGCCACAAGGGAACAGAGATGGGGAGAGGAAGGGAGGGAAGGAGAGAGAAGGGGCAGGAAAGGGAGGGAAGGGAAGGGGGAGGATTGGGAAGATGAGGGAGGGGAGGGGAGAGAAGGGGAGAGGAGAAAAAGGGTGGAGGGGAGAGAATAGGAGGAGAGAGGGTGGAGGGAAGGGGAGAGGAGGGGAGGACAGGGAGAAAGTATGCATTGTTTACATATATCTCTATGGACCTGGCCTCTGTGCATGTGTATACATATATATCATGGTCCTGAGGATTGACTCCAGGACCCTTAACATAACAGACAAGTACCCTGCCACTGGGCCACATCCCAGCCCTGTATCTGAAGGCTCTGGGCAGCCTGGTGGCCATCGGAGTTTCTGGCTGGGATGTGAGTTTTTCCGGTTGCCGTTGCTGGTGAATTTAACTGTATGGTTCCTCGTTCCCTTACGACTGCTTAGCCAGGTTATCCTTCTCTCCATGGCAGCTGAAATGATCTGTCCTTTTTTCAATGAAAAGAAACACGTTATTTTACTTCGAGGAGGGGCATGCTTGTGCATGCCGCAGCACACATGTTGAGGTCAGAAGTCAGAGGAAGGCCTGTGGCAGTCAGTTTTCTCCTTCCACTAGGTGACTCCTTGGCATCCAACTCAAGTTGTCAGGCTCAGTAGCAGATACCTTTATCTCCTGAGACATCTTGCCTGACCCAAAATTATTAGTGAGGAGGCTTGGGGGTGGGCACCCCATGGCACATGTGTGGAGGCCAGAGGACCACTTTGTGGACCCAGTTCTGTCCATCCATCTTTGTATAGGTTCCGGGACAAAACTCAGACAGCCAGGCTTCCCCGCTAAACCATCTCGTCCTTCTTCTGAATGTGAAGGCCATGTCTGTGAATTTGGGCTGGTGATCTCTTCCCAGAGACGTGCTGTGGATCCTGCTCTTCGTCTATAGCTCATCCTGTAGCCATGTTTCTGGAATCTCCTTTGGTATCAAAGATTTCGGTTTTAATAAAGTCAAACATATGATTTATGGTTTGTGCCTTTTCTGACTTACAAGAAATCTTCTACCCTGAAACCACACAAACTCTTTTATTTTCTTGAAACAGGTTCTCACTATGTAGCCCTGGCTGTCCTGGAGCTCTGTGTAGATCAGGCTGGCCTCAAACTCACAGAGGTTCACCTACCTCTGCCTCTCGAGGGCTGGCATTAAAGACATGTGCCACTCCGCCCAGCTCACATAAAGGTTTGTATTTTTTTCTAAAGGTTTTATTGTTCAGCTCTTCACATTTAGCTTCTGCTCCATCTGGCATGTATTTTTATATAAGACATAAGGTAGGAATCTAATTTTAATTTTCCCTCATGTGGGTAGATGATAGCTGTGTCAGCCTTTCCTCTGACTGGGAAAGTCTGCTCCGTCAAATCCCACACCTCCCACACCTCTCTAAGTCAGTTTCTCTCTTCCCAACTCAGCTGCCTCAGCCAGTTTCCCACTCCGAATACAGCGGTAAACATTAACAGCTTTGTAGGGAGTCTTGGCTTCTGGCAGGGTAAGGCCACCCCTTCTCCCATAGGCTGTTCCCCAAATTCATCTTTAGTTATGTTCTTGTTATTGTTGTTTTGAGACAAGGTCTGGCTATGTAGCCCTGGTTGACCTGGTCACAGACCAGGCTGGCCTTGAACTCACAGAGATCCACCTTCCTCTACCTCCTGGTGCTAGGATTAAAGGTGTGTGCCACCATGCCCAGCCTCTGGAGTTTACTTTTACTTTGTTGTTATTGCTGTGGCTGTTGACACAAAACAAAGAATCTCCTGGAAGGTGACTTGAAGCAACCCCTGAGGAGTAAAGGGAGAGATTGATCATGCAATCTTTACCACCACCTGTGACTCCCTGAGGAAGATAGGGAAAGAGAAGGCTGACCCTCGGGGACTGCTGATGGAGGCCTGTGGATGGGCCTAAAGCCTCTTGGGGCTCAAAAGCATCTCTGCTCTGGGATGGTTATCACTGAGGAGACAAGCCTCTTCCAGGCCTGTGAGTGAATATCTGGTTCGGTTAATGGAAGTGGGAAGACCCACCCTGAAAGCAGGTGACCCATTCCCTGAGTTTGGGTCCTGGACTACGAAGAGATGTAGAAAGATATATGTGTGTGTGTGTGTGTGTGTGTGTGTGTGTGTGTGTGTGTGTGTGTGTGTGTGTCTAAAAATTTCAAAGCATGATTTAAAACAAAATTAAAGAGAGGGGCCTGCAGAGATCAGGATGCTCAGAGGTTAAGGGCACCTCTTGCTTTTCTAGCGGGGGGATCAAGCTCAGTTTCCAGCACCCAGGTAGGGAAAGGCTCACAATTGCCTGTAACTCCAGATCCAGGGGATCTAACACCCTCTTCTGGCCTCTGTGGGCACCTGTATTCATGTAGCACCTGTACACACACACACACGCACGCACGCACGCACGCACACGCCCCCCCCAGATAAATTTTTAAAAAATGAATAAATAATACAAAGGAGAAAGCAGGCTGAGCCCCAACAATTATTGCTTTCCGCTTACTGACTGTAGCTGCAACACGGAGAGCTGCCCCGCCCCCACCCCCAACTCCGTTCCTGCTGCCAGAACTTCCCTGCCCTTGTGGAATGGACCCTCCTACTGTGAGTCCAGCTAAACCTCGGCTCATTTACATTCCTTTTGTCAGGGTGCTTTGTCACAGAAAAGTGAAACTAAGACACCTCTTGTGTGTGTGTGTGTGTGTGTGTGTGTGTGCGTGCGTGCTTGTGTGCGGTAAGGAGAGGCGAGTACACCATCCCGAGGGCACAGCTCTGGAAAGGCGCCCAGGCCTTCAGCGGCAGCAGGTGTCCAAAAGGAAGGAGGAGTTCATTGTCCTCTCTGGAGCCACTGGCAAATTAGGAATTGCTCCCCTCGAACCTCTCAGCAGAGTGAGCTGCGCCTGTGTTGTCCCCTGTTGCCCATTGAGGCTTCTGTCACTTAAGGATCTGCTCCCCTGTCCTGTCCTGGCCCCCATACGTCCCTCCAGCTAAGCCATGGTTGTCACTGTTCACTCACGTGCCTCCCCCAATACATACACAAAGAGATCCTTGAGGGAGCAGGGACCAGAAACACAATGGTAAAATGGAGGGTTGTTTGCGCTCTCCATCCATACAGAGGCATGGGGCACATTACAAGTGTCCCCAACAACATCCTAGACTCAATCTCTCTATCCTCAAGCTTGAGTGTAGAGCCTGGCAGTCCTAAGTGTTAGTTTTTCGGCTGCGTTGTGTGCTTACCCTGCAAGGAAATGCCACGAAACACGACAGAATCCGCTAACAAGAGTTTTATTAAAGGGACAGAGAGTGAACAGGCCTGCGGGAAACACGTGTATGGAGAAGAAGGGAGAAGAAGAAGAAGAAGAAGGAACCGGGAACATGGCGCCTGATTTTAAAGGCTGGGCGTGGACAGATCAGCGTCACTACTACACGCAAGCGCGTAGATCACATGGCCACGTTGCGCGCTTACGTGGCCAGTGGGACGTCATGGATCTTGGTCACGCGAGATGCCCTGACCCGGAAATGGCTATCTGGACCTGGACCTAGCTAGGCGGAAGTATCCGCCAGGCATATGCAGACACACCTGACCATGGGGGCTTGTTGTAAATCTTTCACTAAGTATCCATCAATATCCATCCAGTGAACACAGCCTAGTCAGCTCTAGGAGTTCCAGTCTGAGAAAATCCTTTGGGATTTTGACAGCTCATGAGGAGCCCAACCCTCAGGGTGAGTCATAGAAAGGAGAGCCAATTCAAAGGACATACAATAAAAATGGGTTCTTAGGGGACTGTGTAGACTGAGACCCAGACCAAGAGCAAAGGTCCTGTTAAGAGTCATGAAGGAGCCTGGCAGTGGTGGCGCACGCCTTTAATCCCAGCACTAGGGAGGCAGAGCCAGGCAGATCTCTGTGAGTTTGAGGCCAGCCTGGTCTACAGAGTGAGATCCAGGATGGGTACCAAAACTACACAGAGAAACCCTGTCTCGGGGGAAAAAAAAGAGTCGTGAAAGATCAGAGGTCATGTGAGACCATTAGCAAAAACCAATAATCCAAGAGCAAGGCAGAGTTGGACTCCTGTCGGGGATAGTAATCACCCAGTCTCTCCCAGCCAAATCTGTGTTGCAGGAGGAAGATATGAGCATCAGGGTGAGGCAGGGTCCCCAAGAACAGGGCCACACTCACAGCATCCCATTCCTTCCCTGAACCTGCCTCCCTCAGTCTGAGTGCTGGTGAGAAGTCTGTCTGCATGGAGCCTGGGGCTGAGGACAGAGGCGACTCTTCTGTGCTGGGGTCCTGGAAGGGGGATGTGGCCTAGAAGGTGTAGTTAGACACAGTTAGCAGAGAGAATGGCGGTCCTCTCGAAGGCAGAGGATCCCGGATACGCTCTGACAGAGATGTGCGGCTGGCTATGGGAAGGAAGCTCCCTGGGTCCGCTGTGGTTGGAAATGCCTCAGAAGACAGATCAATGATGGGCACTGCCCGCCTCTTGGTATTCTTCCTGGCAGGGTCACCAGAGTCCCCGAGCAGGATGGTTTTAGAAACAGGCTGGTATGGGGAGGAGCTGGGGCTTGGGCAGACATCCCCTGCTGACTTGGAGTTCCTGGGGAACTTACACAATCTGCCTGGGTTTCAAGAGCCAGTGGAGAAGGAAGCGGTGGTCACCACAGGAAGGGAGGCACGTCATCGAGAGGCACTGGCCCAGGTCTCTGTCCATGGAGACCATCCTCGCAGCACTGGCCTCCAGAGGGGAGAGACCAGGGGTCCACAGGCTCTCTCCACTGTGCTTTGGGTCATCTTCCTTGAAGAAACTGTGGCCCCAAAATTCTGAGACCACCTATGCTGTAGGAAGTTCCTCCTCTGCTGGGATGTGCCTTTATGCCTACATGCTCTGCCCTGTGCGCTCAGCCTCAGTTCCTGGTCTCCACCTCTTGGGGAGCCTTGGAAGACTGGAGTCTGTTTTTAGAGATGCTAGCATATTCCACAGACAGAAGGGGGTCAGGCGAGGGCTTCGGGTAGGGCTGGATGTTGCTAGAGACGGAGTCCTGAGGGCTCACGTGGTTGAGGTGGATGAGGGAAGCATAGCAGATGATCTCAGTGTCCTCACTGGAGAGGGTCTGCTGACTGAAGGCCTGAGAATCGAAGGAAACAGATGTCTGTTGAAAGAACAGCAGTGAGGTGGCCGGCGGCCTGGAGAAACCAGAGCAGGGCAGAGGGACAGGCTCGGAGTTTAAGATGCAGAACACGGGCTAGAGAGATAGTGGATGGTTGAGAGCACTGGCAGCTCTTCCAGAAGACCTGGGTTCAATTCCCAGCACCCACATGGCAGCTTACAACTGTCTATTAACTCCAGTCTCAGGGGATATGACTCCCTTTTCTGACCATCTCAGGCACTGCATACCCATCACATACATACATGTAGGCAAAACACTCATAAACATAAAATAAAAATAAATAAGCCTTTTCTTTACAAAGATATGGGATGTAACACTGGGTCTGCAGGGCTTCTGGGAAGGGGTGGCTGGAAAGTTGTCTTTCCTGCCACTGTGCTGAGAAGCACTGGCCTCCCCAGGTTTCTATTTCAAATTGGAATCAGGCTTCACTCCAAATCCGTGGAAGCAAAGACCCTGGGGGTGGGAACTAAGAAACCATTAATTTGTATATTTTTCAATGTTGGGGATGGAACACAGGGTCTTGCATAGGCATGGCAAAGACTATCACTGAGCTACAGCCCCCAGGCCTTGTGATCTTGAGACTGGGTCTCATTATGTTGCCCAGGCTGGCTTGAAATTGGAGACCATCCTGCCTCAGGCTCCTAAGTGCTGGGATTACCAGCCTGCACCACCATACCCTTCAAGAAACTTTTAAGTTCTCCAAATGAACCTTATGCACATTCAAGCTGGAATAGGGTGGAGTTAAAGGGGACTCATTAGAGACGCATTTCATGGAACCAATTCTAACATTATACCGAGGGCTGGAGCCTTCTAATTCTGTGGGTCTTTAGTACCAGGAGTCTTGGGTCTGCAGGTGAGGCAAAACTACCCAAACCACTTAGTCCTCAGGAGGACTAAGTTTTTCCATACTGACTGGACCAATGGTAAGTAGTCTGTAGGCTGGCTAGGGACCTAAGACACAGGAAGAGCTATCTCCCATAGAGGTGATGGCCAAGAGCTGGTTCTACCTCCCCCCCACCCCATCTTTTCCCTGTCTCTCTCTTTGTTTCTGTCTGTCTGTCTGCCTGCCTACCTGCCTGTCTGTCTCTCTAGTTTGAGTTCGGGAACACAAGGAGAAGAAATACTCAAAAAGGAAACATGGAAGTAGGTCATGAGGATGTGAACAGTCATGAGTGTGTGCCACCACTTAGAGTAAATAGAAACTGAACGCAGACCAAAGTTCACAAGGACCGATGTACACCAGACAGCTAGGGTACCTTAGGTCCCAGAGGAGAGTCCTTCCTACTTATAGTGGTTTCCTCCTGCTGGCCTGGAAAGTCTTCATAAATATGGTGACATTCGTTCTCAACTGTGAGGAAACCAGAAAGTTAGTGGAGAGACTTCCCATGTACCACCTCCCCACTTCCTGTGGCAACAACAGGCTGGGGCCCTGATGGAGGAGAGGCCAGGGCTTGGCCAAAGGTAGTTTCTGCCTAGGGAGCTCCCAAGCACCCAGCACTGAGTAATGTCCAAGGAGTCAGAAAGCCTCATAGCCTGGCTGCCTGTGTCTGTTCTGCATAAACCCATTCAACTTCACGGTCAGTTTCAGGTCACTCACTGTAAGTTCCATATTTAAACATCAGATTAAGTACAATCTGTTCACTGGTGGGGTTATGTGTGGTAAGATGTTGGCTTTCTAGTTCCTTGTGTCAAAAGCCCTTAGTGTGAAGTATTTCCTATGAACACACCCTTCCACACTCACCCCTGTGTGCACACTCACACATACTCCGAAATAAAACCTCAGAATATGTGTCCAGAGTCTGGGCATTTTACCATTCCTATGCTGTTTTCTACAAATGTCACAGTGACCCACTAAATTGATTGCATAACATTTGGAAAATAAGCAGATAGAATTTTGAAATTCTCTCTTCCATAAGGATTTTTTTCAGAGCTTGAAAAAATGATATTCACAAGTGGAGCCCTCTGATCCACTCATGCATTTTAACCTTGTCCCCAGAAATACCTGGAAGGCGTGTGGAGAATAAAGACACAGGGCACAGAGGACAAAACAGCAAGAGAGGATGCGGAAGTCAGCTGAAGGCCACAGTGCGCATACGGGATTAATGCTAAAAACTCAAAACTTTGAAGATTAAAACGTCCTTCAAGAACCTGAAGGAAGCTGGGTGGTGGTGGTACACGCCTTTAATCCCAGCAGTCGGGAGGCAGAGGTGGGTAGATCTCTGAGTTCAAGGCCAGCCTTCTCTACACAGTGAGTTCCAGGACAGCTAGGGCTACACAGAGAAGAAACCCTGTCTCAAAAAACTTTAGTAATAATAGTAATAAAGACCTGAAGGAAAACAATTTTTCTCTTTGTAGCACATTCACTTTGTGTGTGTGTGTGTGTGTGTGTGTGTGTGTGTGTGTGTGTGTGTGTGTGAGTATGTAAGTGTGAGGGGTGCATATTCATGGGCATGTGTGTATGTGTGTGCATAAGTGTATAGAAGCCAGAGGACAGCCTTGAGTGGGGTTCCTCAGGAGCTGTCCACATTGTTTTTTTGAGACAGAGTCTCTCACTGGGACCTGGGACTTGCTGATTCGGTGAAGCCGATGAACCTGTCTCTGCCTCCCCAATGCTAGGATTACAAGTGTGCTCCCGTGTCTATATAGCTGCTGGATAGTGGATTCCGGTCCTCGTGTTTATACAGCAAGCACTTTACCAGTTGAGCCGTATCCCCATCCCTCAGTTTTTACTGTGGGAGCTAAAGGCATAGTTCAGTGGTAGAGTGTGTGTTTAACATGCTTTGGGCCTCCGTTCCGTCCTTAGTACCACAAAGGGAGAAAAATTACTGTGTATCCTTTGAAATGTGTATCTATGATGTACATTATGTATGATATGGTGTTGAACATATATCACAAAATGGTTAATGGTATAGAACAATGGATTGGTCTGGTTTTATTCCTGTTGCCATGGCAGACATCCCAACAAAAAAGCAGCGCAGGAGAGGGAAGGGACATTTGCTGACGATTACAAGTTACAGTCCATCATTTCGGGAAGAACTCAAGCAGTCAGACACCCCACACCCACAGCCAAGAGAAAGAGAATAAACACATCCTGCATGCTTGCTCTCACTGTTCACAACCCCCTGACTAGGGAATGGTTCTGCCTACATGGGCTAGGTTTACCACATTGATTAACATCATGATAATTACCCTCCCTCTACAGATGGGCTCATAGACTAACCTGATCTAGAGAATTCTTCATTAAGATTCTCTTCCCAGGTGATTCTAGATTTGTCAAGTTGACAGTCAAAAACCTACCAGTGCACACATATCCCTCCTCTGGCAAGAGCAGTTACAAGCCGCTCACTTGGTGAAAATATAGGGCATGATGTACTGTTCTTACCCATAGTCTTCATGTTGTACATTAAACCCTTTGACTCGTTCATTCTGTGTTGCTGCTACTTTTTTTTTGCCTACATATCTTTCTGCACTTCCTCCCTCATACTGAGATAAACAAAATTTTAAAATGGTAGCAACGTGCATTTCAGTATCATCAGCCAGAAAGTCCTTTATAGAGACTTAACAAGTCCCTAATCATAAAGTTGAAAAAAGCAGGGACTGGAGAGGTGGCTCAGTACTTAAGAGCACTGGCTGCTCTTCAAGATAAGCCAGGTTTGATTCCCAGCACCCACACAACGGATCACAACTCTCAGTAACTCTAGTTCCAGGCGGTCTGATAGGCACCAGGCACACACACGGTGCCTAGAAATACGTGCAAGCAAGGCACCCATATACATGAAATAAAATGATAAAAAAATAAGAGGGAAAGAGTAAATGACGCAAAATCCTAGCAATAAGTGGGGAGGTTGGGGTTCAGTAGGTAAGCCAGACTGAAAGCTGAGTGGAACTGGTCCTGCCCCCACCCCTTACCCTCCACCCCTCACCCCCTTTGAGCCGGGCCACCAGGCCTGCGCCTTGTGAAGGAGAAGGAAGCCCACTTGGACACCTTGCCTTTCAGGTCAGTTTCCTTGATGGGAAAACAACATGGACTCACCTTTCTGGGCTCTTCGTCGAGCATTCCCAAGGTACAGGATGACAAGGACCACAAGTCCGAGCAGTAGCAAGATGGCCACTACCACACCAGCAATGATGACCTTCCACATCCAGTTATCTGGAGGGCTTTGGAACAAAGATTCTCGGGGTGAGGAGAGTCGGAGCCCAGAACACTGCCTGCTAGAAAACCTTCCTTCCCCAGGCCTGCAATTCCCAGCCTCTTCTGGGGTCCCCTGCTCAGCTGGGCAGGGGACCCCTTTAATACGCAGTGGGCCTGCCTTCTAGGTCCTGCAGTCTCCATGACAGGGTAATGCTGACAATGTCACAAGCCATTGTTCCTTTTTTCTTTTCTGTCTCCTGCCCCCAACTTCCTTTTGCCAGTCCCAGGCTCCTTCCACCAGGGATCTTTGTCCATCCTGCAGCTTTACCTCAGCCCTTTTCTGTGGGATGCAGCCAGTTCCCGGGAGAATCAGGGAACCTGACAAACAGTTCTGCCAGCTGAGTGCATCCCAGTATGCCTTGCTTCAAGTCACTTCAAGTCCAAAGACCTGAAGGCAGACACGAACACGCTTGTAGCAGACTCTAGGGAAGGGGCTGAGTGGCAAGGTCATAGAGAAAGACATCAAGGACATCTCAGCTCAGCTGGTTTCTGGTTCAATGTCTAAACAAGAGTGATCTACAAGACCCTGGGATCCACTGTCTTCAGGGATGTGGGTTCAGAGAGAAGTAGGTGGCAGAGGCCAAGGGCCTGGAGCCTGGAAGCCCATCAGCAGGCATGGAAAGATTCCAGACCATGAGAACAGAACTTCAGGCCATGCATTTCTCCTGACTTAACACAGTTCCCTTACAACAACCCTGCTCACACTGAAGGATGAGCAACAGGGCTGGAAGAAGGGCAGAAGTAAAGATGCAATGTAGGCACAAGGCTGCCTGCACAAGGGTGAGGCAGTAGGCAAGTGGGGATCCCCTCTAACCCACACTCCAGTCCATCCTCGCTGCACTCTAGGAGATGGTGGTACCGAAGGAAGATAGGCACGTCCCATCTAGTAATGTCTGGTGACATTTTTAGCGGCCAGTTGTATTCAGAAAGACACTTGCAGTACTGGTCATGGGATGGTCAAGGATACTGCTAAATATCTTAAAAGGCACAGAAGAACCTCCTGTGACAAAGAACTAGCCAGCTGCTGGCACAGGCCCATCACTCAACAGACTGAGGCAAGAGGACGAAAAGTTCAAGATCACCTTGTGTAATAGAGTGAATTAAAGACCAGCTTGAGTTATTAAGTGAAATCACAATCTCAAAATAGAAAGTATAAGGCTGAGAGTACAGCACAGTTGTAGAACTCCTGCTGATAAATGTGAGGTCTCAGGTTGGTCTTCATAAAAGATAGATAGATAGATAGATAGATAGATAGATAGATAGATAGATTTATAGATGATAGATAGATAATAGATAGATAGATGCATAGATAGATACATAGATAGATAGATGGGTAGATAGATAGATAGATAGATAGATAGATAGATAGATAGATGATAGATGAATAGATATGTAGATGGCAGATAGATGGATAGATCTAGATAGATGATAGATAAATTAGATGGTAGTAGATAGATAGATAAATAAATGATGGATAAATAATAGATAGATAGATAGATAGATAGATAGATAGATAGATAGATAGACAGACAGACAGACAAATACAGGAATATTCTTGTGATCTCATTTTGCAGATGAGAAGACTGAGGCCTATATAAAATGATCAGAAGTGACCACCTGAATCCATCCGTCCTGTGAGAATGGGCACCTGTCAGCGTGACGATTAGGAACTATAGTTAGGAGAGTGGGAGGAAACACAAGACTAACAGGACAGGCCAGGAAGTCCGCAGTACCTGCCAATGACAGGGCTGGTGGCAGAGGCCAGGGCTGTTGTCCTCCAGGAGGCCGTGGATGGAGTTGGAGCTGTAAGAGATCATAATGAGCAATCTGTCTTTTCAACACCCCCAAACCCCCAGTCTCCAGCCATGGAAGAGGAGAAACCCACACATGGCACTGGAGCCAACAAGTGAAGACCCTGAGGAGTGCCATCTGCCCTGCTGTGAATGGAGCTGGAGTCACCTCCCAAGAAAAGCCACAGTGCACGTGACTGTAAATGAGGCCTCATATGTTCCAGGGCCTCTCCTGCTTCCTGTGTTCTTTCATTTTAAGTTTTTATTGTTTTTAATTGTGTGTCTATGGTGGGGTGATATGTGCATGTGAGTGCAGTACTCATGGAGACCAGAGGTATTAGATCCTCTGGAGCTGGAGTCACAGGCTGTTGAGAGCCATGTGAAGAGGGGGCTAGGAACCCCTGAGAGAGCAGCAAACACTCTTAACCACTGAGCCATCTGTCCAGTCTCCAGTGTTTATTTTAATGTGTGTGTTCATGTGCACATATGTGCATGTTTGTGTGTATGCAGGTGCACATGTGTGCATATGTATGTGTATGTGTGCATGTGGAGGCTAAAATACAATTTCAGATGTCTTCACTTGTGTGTAATCCATTTCATTTTTATTTTATTGAATTTTTGAGACTGGGTTTCTCACTGGACTTTGCCGATGAGCCCCAAGGACCTCCTGTCTCCACCTCCCCAGTGCTGAGACTATAAGCATGTCTCTCCATGCCCAGCTTTTTCTTTAATGTGCATTTAGGAATGGAACTTGCACAGTGTTTTTCCTAATTGTGATAAAACACTCTGTCCAAAGCAACTTATGAGAGAAAGAGATTGATGTAGCATACAGTTCAGAGTACAGTCTATCACAGCAGGAACTCAGGACAACAGGAACAGTTCACAGTACATTCCATCACAGCAGGAACTCAGGACAACAGGAACAGTTCAGAGTACAGTCCATCACAGCAGGAACTTAGGACAACAGGAACAGTTCACAGTACAGTCCATCACAGCAGGAACTCAAGAACAGTTCAGAGTACAGTCCATCACAGCAGGAACTCAAGACAACAGGAACAGTTCACAGTACAGTCCATCACAGCAGGAACTCAAGAACAGTTCACAGTACAGTCCATCACAGCAGGAACTCAAGACAACAGGAACAGTTGACAGTACAGTCTATCACAGCAGGAAGTCAAGACAACAGGAACAGTTCAGAGTACAGTCCATCACAGCAGGAACTCAAGATAACAGGAACTGGAAGCAGCTGGTTGCAGTGCATCCAGTCAGGAAGTAGAAAGCAATGAATGTTCTCAGGCCACTTTCCCTTTTATACTTTTATACCCCAAGCTTAGGGAATGGAGCCGCCCACTTTTAGAATGGGTCTTCCCACCTCAAGCTAAGATAATCCCTCACAGGTGTGTCCAGAGGGTTGTCTCCCTGGTAATTCTAGGTTCTGCCACATTGACAACTAAAACCATCACACTTGGCAAGCACTTTACTGGTTGAGTGTCTCCCCATCCTGGGTCCACTATGTTGGAACATATGAAGGTCACAACTAATGCCTCCCCGACATGGAGTGTGCCTGGGGCAAAGCTTTCATAAAAATAACCTCCAGGCACCCATGGAACCAAAGGGTTGGACACGTTCTGGAGCAGGGAGAGCTAGGAGGGGTCGTTCAACCTGTGAACTTATGAACATGAAAGACTAATTCAGAAAGCCCTCCACCACTGCAGTCTTCAGCATGAGGCACACAGGAGACCCAAGTCATCATCAGCCTCTGGGCTGCCTTCCCAGAGCTCAGAGAGTCTCAGCCATCAAGGGCAGATCCTGAAGGAGAACACACATCTCTGTGCCTTCCACTCTAAGCCTCCTGTGGGCCTCTCTGTCTAGCTGTCTCCTCTCAGTCCCCACCTCTCGGTGCTCCCTCCATTTGCTCTGAGGTCTCTCTCATGTGATGGAGCCCACCACCCCTAGAGAGAAGGTTTCTGATGGGATTATAGTCATGGGATGTTCAGGAAAGGACGGCTGTGACAGCTGGGGGGAGCGATAAGATCCTTCAGTAAAGAGATTTCTGTTAGCAGCAGCAGAAGAAGAAGCAGCAGCAGAAGAAGGAGGAGGAGGAGAAGGAGGAGGAGGAGGAGGAGAAGGAGAAGAAGGAGGAGGAGGAGGAGGAGAAGGAGAAGAAGGAGGAGGAGAAGAAGAAGAAGGAGGAGGAGGAGAAGGAGGAGGAGGAGGAGGAGAAGGAGAAGAAGGAGGAGGAGGAGGAGGAGAAGAAGAAGAAGGAGGAGGAGGAGAAGAAGGAGGAGGAGGAGGAGAAGGAGAAGAAGGAGGAGGAGGAGGAGAAGGAGAAGAAGGAGGAGGAGGAGGAGAAGGAGAAGAAGGAGGAGGAGGAGGAGGAGGAGAAGGAGAAGAAGAAGAAGAAGAAGAAGAAGAAGAAGAAGAAGAAGAAGAAGAAGAAGAAGAAGAAGAAGAAGAAGAAGAAGGAGAAGAAGAAGAAGAAGAAGAAGAAGAAGAAGAAGAAGAAGAAGAAGAAGAAGAAGAAGAAGAAGAAGAAGAAGAAGAAGAAGAAGGAAAGGTGTTAAGAGTAACTGGTGAGAACTGCCCAGAAGCCAGCAAGCCTGGGTTCTAGGATTGGCTCTGCCCTAAACCAGCAGATGGTCTTGGGGGAGGGGCCTTTCTTCCCTGTGCCCCAGTTTCCAGCTACTAGAGGAAGCTTCTAGAGCCCTCTCCAGCTCTGGAGCCTTGTGACTCAGGAAGGCTGAGAGCCACACAGAAAGGGAGGAGCTCGCCGGGCGGTGGTGGCGCACGGCTTTAATCCCAGCACTCGGGAGGCAGAGGCAGGAGGATCTCTGTGAGTTCGAGGCCAGCCTGGACTACAGAGTGAGTTCCAGGAGAGGCACAAAGCTACACAGAGAAACCCTGTCTCGAAAGACCAAAAACAAAAAAAAAAAAAAAAGAAAGAAAGAAAGAAAGAATGGGGGAGCTCACCTTTCGACACCTTCAGGTGGATGTTTCTGAGAATAGAGATTCTTCTGAGATTTTCAGCGATCCCACAGAAATAGACACCCGAGTCTCTCACCGTGAGCGCAGTCATGGTGACACTGAAGAATTGATAATCAGGATAGTCCCTGATGGAGAATTTTGACCGCTGAGCATCTGGGCTGTGACTGGACACTAAGATTTCACAAGTTTCTGCTGATGTTTTCTGACACCACACCTTCTCCTTGAAGCGCTGGCTGGAATCATACTGGCATTTCACCACAGCGGTCTTGCCCTCTGCTCCTTGAAGAAACACTGTGTTCTGTGCCCAGGAACCTGAGGATACATCCTTCAGTCAGAGCCCCCCAGCCTCCACAGCAGGGCAAGGAGATGGGTTCATTTCTTTGTGTCTTTACTCAGGACGTAGCTTAGAGCCAGCCGCTGGCCACAACACTCCATGTATTCTGCATTCCCAACCACAGAGCCCATCTGTGCACACCTCCCAACCCCTGCCCTTCCCTCTCCCTGGTTCCTTCCCTCTGTCCTTGTCCCCTGTTCTCACCTGAGGCTAGGAGCACCAGCAGGATGGAGGATAGCAGGCATGTGGCCTCCCAGGCCATAGGTCCTCTTCTCAGCTGGGATGGGGCAGGAAGGGAAGGACTAGGGATGCTCTGAGGAGAAGAGACCAGGGCAGGGCAGGATCCAGGCAGCCACCACAGCCAGTGTGAGATGAATTGCCGAGGAAGCAGAGACCTCCGTGGACAAGAGGGAAGCTGAGCAAGGCCCGTGTGGCCCTGTGGATCCTCCAGCCACAGGCTTTGTAGCTAGGCTCCTGAACTGTACTAGATAAAGGCTTACAGAGAAACTGTAGTCTTCTGTCTCATAAGATGGGGTGAGGAAAGCTGAGAAAGCCCAGGAGGAAACCATAGTGAAGTAAGAGTGTGCTTGTTTCTCCCCAGCAACACCCACAATTCTCCACTTCCTCTTTAGCCTCAAGTTTCTATTCTCCACCCAAGTCTGGCTCTCACTGAAGGCAGGTGTCAGAACCAGAGGCTCTTTGGAGACCTGGCTAGAACTCTAAGGCCAGTTTGCCCTCAGGGGTCAGAACCTTGCTGATTGGCTAACCTGGGAACCGGAAAGTTCCAAGTGGACTAAAGGGAATCAGAAGAAGGGGATGGACATTCATTCTGAGGAATGGAAGAGCAAGGGGGTTCTGATAAGTTTGGGAGACAACAAAGTTGGGTATGAAGGAAGAGAGCTCAGACAGAGGGAAGAGAAAGGGGAGCCCCAGGCCCCATGTCACCCCCAGATGCCCAGCTTTCCAACATGCCACACTCACTGCTAAGCATCACTTGAAAGACTGTACTCACCAAACACTTTTCAGAAATAACTGTCACAGGACAGCAAGATGTCTCAGCAGGCAAGGACACTTGCTACCAGGACTGGTAACCTGAGCTCCGTGACCACACCGTGGAAGGAGAGAACCAGTTCCCCAAAAGTTGTCTCTGACTTCCACATATGTGAAAGTTTAAAGTAAATAAATTTAACTGTCATTACATGAGCTACAAAAATCAATAGCTACAGGCTGTTCATTAAACTGATAAGCAAGGAGAAACCAGGCGTGACGGTGCATGACTGTGATCCTAGCATCAGGAGGTGGAGGCAGGAGGATGTGAGGTCAAGTTTATCCTTGGCTACCTAGCAGGTTCAGCTAGGGCCACCTGAGACCCTGCCTCAAAATAAACAAATAAATAAAGAGATTTTAAAAACTATAGGAACGGGGAAGCCCTGAGGAATATCAATGTCGTGTGGCAGCTAGGATGCCAGGGGGCAAGGGCTGACCCAGACTGCACAGGACTCGTGAAAGGCTCTGGGGAAGAGAGGGACAGAGGAGTGGGCAGTACTACAGGCTCCGAGGAAGGCCAGGGCACCCTGTGAGGAGGTCTGAGAGGCAGGGTAAGCCTTTGACCAAGTTGGCAAAGAGGCGCCAAGCCTTTAGACAGTGGTGTCAGCCAGCGGCATGGCAGAGTGTCTAGGAGGGACTCGCCTGTGGGAAGGTGACTTTCAGCAGCTGAATGGCTAGCTGAGGTGATTTCTGCCACCTCACCCATCCCAGCACAGAGCAAGAAGTCCAAGGATGCTGAAGGTGGACCTAGCAGCAACCATCACCATAAGCAGAGCAAGGCATGCATCTGCAGCCACGTTTTAAACAGTTCTGGGTGAGCGCACAACTGTGGCCACAGAGCTACTTCACCCGCTCCTTCTGGCCAAGACAATGAGCTTTGTGCAGGAGTGTCCAGTCTCTACAGCCCTCAGCTCAGGAAACTGTTGTTGCACAAATCCTAATTGGTCTTATGATAAAAACCCGAAGCCAGATATTGGGGTAAATGCTGAAAGATCAGAGAGACAAAGGAACAAGTCATAGCCACTTCCCACCTCGCCAGCTCTTCAGCTGAAAGGGGAAGATCCTGTCTCTGCGAATCCTCAAACTGAACGCTCCTGAGTCCTCAGCCAAAAGAGTTAAGCTCCTCTCTCTTCCTGGCTTATATGCCTTCCTCTGCCCAGCCATATCACTTCCTGTCTCAACTTTCCTAGTGCTGGGATTAAAGGAGTCTGACTCCCAAATACTGGGATTAAATGTGAGCCATCACCAACTGGCTCTGTTTCTCTTTTAGACTGGATTAATCTCATATAGTCTAGGATGGCCTTGAGCTCACAGAGATTCAGACAGACCTCTGCCTCCAGAGTGCTAGGATTGAAGGTGTGTGCCACCACTGCCTGGCCTCTATGTTGAATCTAGTAGCTAGCTCTGTCCTCTGATCTTCAGGCAAATTTTATTTGTTAGAGTATAATCAGTTATCACCACATTCCCTTTTTTGTCCAAAATAATAAAAGATTATAACTAATATTAAAATAAAACTATGTATAATAAGTACAATAAGTATATATAATATGTACAGGAAATAATTACGTCAATAATGTCTAGTCCATTAACATTTGACAAATTCAGAGAAAATACTCCATTATTTATCCTATTTTGGTGAGTCCAAAGTGTTGTACCTAATTCACTTTCTATCCTAACTTGTATTACCAATGAAAAACTATCTTTTGATGTCTTTCAAACTTTACACCTCTTTAGTGAGTTTCTTTTCTGAATTTGTTAACAAGGAAATCTATAACTATCTAGTCTTCGACTCCATCAGTGACCCAAGAAGGAAATAATATTACCAAAGTAAGCAGTAAGTGCAAGCAAGCAACTTCCAAAAGATGTGAGAAATGACAGAAACAGTTGGCTGCCTGGACAGTCACCCAAGGTTCCTCCACAATGTTGGGGCATTCATCCTCAACCTACAGGCCTAGTATATCTGACAGACTTATCTGTGAAGCAGGATTTTCTGAAGGGACTTCCTACCTTGTCTTGGCAAAGTTCAGCAGTCCTTTCTTTTGTGTCCTGTCTGTCCATTTGGACAGCATACCGTCAACAGTCAAGGCAAGGACATTTTCTTGCCCTTGTGGCTAACTTTTACCACAAAAAAAGTAAACTCCATATGGAGTTTCTTCTATGCCCATCATATTCTCTGAAGGAGATTGGAGCTGCCAGGAACAGACATGTCTCATTGTCATAAAAAAAAAAGAACCTATGTTATTAAAACATCTTAAATGCCGTATTCTGTAGATCTCTGAAGTATTTGAAGATGATTTATCTATCTAAAATATATTTCTGTTTGACCTTGAAAACATACCTAACCTGACTACAAGTTTGATTGTAATAGGTGACTAACTGCTAACCTACCTTTCTTTATTATCCTAAATAGTTGGTAATAACTTTCAAGGACTAGGAATTTGCATTATATTGTTAAATGAACTGTATAGGTACAATACCTAGAACAAGATTAGAAGTATATGTACATAATGTTCTAACAAAAATAATCTCAACTTTGCATCAATATACAAAGATCCACATCAATGTTAAATAGTAAAACTAGCAATTGCTTTTTTAAAGTAGATTCAATAATCTACCTTTTTATCTTAGCATATATATCCTCTTTTTTTCCTTCCAAAACAGGGACCCTGAATCTAATCTCCTTTTTAGCTTTTTTCCTATTACCAATGCCAACTTGTAATCAACCACCAAAACAATGACAAACATCCATAACTCACTGAACAACCAGAAACCACCCACCCCACCTCTTGGGAATGTGGGCATGCTATTCTTAAAATTATTTCCTGATATCTGGGGTGGAGGGGGTGAAGGCATCTTTAGGGGAATCCTGAAAAGAAAATTTTGGGTTAATTGTCAAGTCCTGGGATAGGTAGCTGCATAATCTGTGTAATGGGAAAGTGCAGGGCTTGTCTCAAGTCCTGGCTAGAGTGGTCTGTGAGGCTGGATCATCTCAACTAGCCACCTCAAAACTGTCCTGAGCAGTTTGTAGTCCAAAGCCGATCTTTAGGTGGTGTTTGTCAGCTTAGTGGTATTATCTAGTCCATGTGGAATCTTCATTATGGAGTCCCATCATCCTTTTGGAGACTTCAAAGGTCGCTGTTAAGCAAGGTCATGATTCACTGAAGAAAACTGATAAAGACTCAAACCTGATGAAGCCTTTTTTCTAGAATTAGTACTCTATATGACAATTATTATTATGACAAAAAGTTTATATATATATACATATATATATTATAAATCTTGGTATAAAATTCATATCTTTTGAAAAGTTTTAAAAAGTTAAAATAAAACTAAAGGATTATGATATTAGTACCAATAAAATAGTCCCTTAATTTTGATTTTTCTTCTGTCCCATATCAGGTGGCTCTATTGACATGAGACAGAGATTTTGCATTATCCTTTAACAAGCATGCTTAGGTTTAGAGGAGAGCGCCACACTCCAACTCCAAAACCAGCTTTAAGTTTTAGTTGAACTAGGAGTACAAAAAGACCATTTGCATTATATGCCTATAGAGAAAAACCAGAAACAAACATTTGGGAAGATTTATGAAATTTTATCCTATTGGAGATGTAATATACTAATAAGTCAATTTACTCTTTTTCTTTGGACATTTTTTTCTGGATAATTTGTCCTTTTTCTTCAGATGTCTCATTTGTCCAGTGTTCTTCAGATTCCTTAGCTGGATGCCTTTATTCTCCTGAAAAGCAAAAAGAAAACCCTGTCCCAATCCTAACTTTGGAGAATTTCCCTTTTGGCAAGATTTATCTGATCAAATGAGAAGCATTTGTTAGTCGTATAAGTTAGTTTGGATTGAATGACCATGCTGGTTGGTGAACTATCATCTCTTCTAATTAAGAGGTCTCTGTTCAAATCAAACCTGTGGCAGCATTCCTGCTGAGCTCCTGGCCTGGTTCCAGAGAGTAGCACCTAGCCCTAATCCTTCCTTTGTTTAACCACACCTTTTGTTTCTCTTACCTTTTGTTTCTCTTATCTCCCTATGTGAATCTTGTTTGAGAGTCAAGGATCAGAGAGTCCCCCAGGGATCAAAGGCCTATGCAAAACTTGGTCTAGGAAACCCAGGAAGACCATGATACCGAGAAATCAAGTAATTTGCACTTGGCATTTGGTCTCTGGGAGCTCCTTTTAGGTTGCTTTCAAGGTACAGAAATTAACTGGCTAAACTATAATGAGAGAGAAATAAAAATGCCCTAGGCGAGAAGAAAGTAAGTGCTTCAGTCCCTCCAGGCTGGACCCCCCTGCAGTCATGAAAGGCTAAATTCATTCTTAAGATGCCTCTGAGTCTTCTTTCCACAGATCTGCATGAATCCACACACCCGTACCACAACACACAGCGACACGAACCTTTATCAATTTTGATGGTATT